TAGCTATTGTTTACTGTTTGCTTAGGATATTAATATGAGAACAGTGATGGTGAATACAGTCATTCCTTTCTGAAAATCCCCTATGGGTGCTTTATGGCTATGAACAGAATATTAACTCCTTCTACATGCTTGTGAAACAGACCCTGTTTTTAAAAATGAAAAGCAGTAATTTTATTGGAGAATAATTTGGTATTTATCACTCTAATGAATATCAAAAATAATCTCTAAGACCACATTTGGTTTTAATACTTTTTTCTAATTTAGTATTGGAAAAAATGACAATATACTAAAAAACATTCAGCAAACAGTATCAACATCCAGCACAAAATGGAACAAATATGTTCGCCAACAAAAGAAAGCTTTAAAATTCTATTATTATACTTACTAAAATTAATTTGATGTGTTATGTGGCATCTGGTCAATTATTTATTCCCCTTGAGATTTTTTTTAACATTTATTTATTTGAAAGGCTGAGTGACAGAGAGGGAAAGACAAAGAGAATGGATCATTAAGTGGAGCAGCCAAGACTTGAACCAGCACTCTGATATGGGATGCCAACATCGCAGGTGTTGGCTTAACCTGCTTCACAATGTTACCCACCTCACCCTCCCTACCCTCCTGAGATTATTTCTGCAGAAATAATTTCTATGGAAATTATTTAGAATTATAATTCTACATGATAAATATAATTATATTATATACATAACTACAACAACCAAAACCAAGTAAATTGTCTTTAAGGTTCTAAGGTTCAAGAATTTGGTTATAAGTTTTTGTTGCTGCTTATCTACTTCCAGGCTGAGAACTAAGGTAGGCATCTAACAAGCACAATGTGATCAAGTAGAAAGGGCCAGACATTGGAATTAAGGCCTACAATCAAACCTAGCTCTGATCCATATGAAAAATCTACTGAGCTTCAACATTCAATATGTTAAACAGTTCTTATTTTGAAGAATTATTAGGAAAATTAAACATTTGTGATTCTCTTATTATAATACCTATCACACAGAACTCATTTAATAATTTTGAAATAAAGGAATTATGCCAGCACCGCGGCTCACTAGGCTAATCCTCCGCCTGCGGTGCCAGCACACCGGGTTCTAGTCCCGGTCGGGGTGCCGGATTCTGTCCCAGTTGCCCCTCTTCCAGGACAGCTCTCTGCTGTGGCCAGGGAGTGCAGTGCAGGATGGCCCAAGTGCTTGGGTCCTGCACCCCATGGGAGACCAGGAGAAGCACCTGGCTTCTGCCTTCGGATCAGCGCGGTGCGCTGGCCGCAGCACGCCGGCCGTGGCGGCCATTGGAGGGTGAACCAACAGCAAAGGAAGACCTTTCTCTCTGTCTCTCTCACTGTCCACTCTGCCTGTCAAAAAAAAAAAAAAAAGAAAGAAAGAAAGAAAGAAAGGATAACTAATCATTATTTTAATAAAATTAAAAAATTAAAAACAACTATTTGCTGTTCTATTAACAGCCTCCTTGGTTACAGCCTCAAATGGACCCAGTGCAATGGATTTATGGAGAAACTTTTATTTCTCTGCATGCCTCAAAACACCAAATCCACTTCCAAAACTACATTCATAGGCACTGCTTCTATTCAAAACACATTTTGAAAGTTATCTTTAGCTTCAATTTTAAAAGAATATTTGAACAGTTCACTAATCATTCTATAACATTTCTTACTGAGTATTTGGAGCCTTTTGCTCATCCAAAAGAAAGATTAGTGGTGGAAAAAACCATAGTAGAAGAATCTTCAATGAAATACAGAAGAAAATAATTATACAATATAGACAGCACACTACATTTTTGTAAAAGAACAGACTTTGAAATAAGAGAGATCTGGAGCCAGCGCTGTGGCACAGTAGGTTAATCCTTTGCCTGTGGTGGCGACATCCCATACGGGTGCCAGTTTTAGTCCAGGCTGCTCCTCTTCCGATCCAGCTCTCTGCTATGGCCTAGCAAAGCAGGGAATATGGCCCAAGTCCTTGTGCCCCTATACCCGCATGGGAGACCCGGAAGAAGGTCCTGGCTCCTGGCTTCAGATCGGCCTTGCTCTGTCCATTAAGGCCATTTGAGAAGTGAATCAGCAGATGGAAGACCTCTCTGTCTCTTTCACTGTCTGTAACTTTACTTCTCAATAAATAAATAAAATCTTTAAAAAAAAATAAAGAAATAAGAGATCTATAAGTAAATTGTGGGACAACTAATTACCTTAGTGATCTTGGAAAAGTCATTTCTTATCAATTTCTTTTATAACATGAGAAAATTTAGTATATCATACACTGTTGTAAAGATTAAATTGATTAGAATAATACCTCATATACAATAAGTTCCAAAAATAGGGCCAGTGTTCTGGCACAGCGGGTAAAGTCACTACCTTCAGTGCCCGCATCCCGTATCGGTGCTGGTTTGAGACTTTACCGCTCTACTTCTAATCTAGCTCCCTGCTAATGGCCTAGGAAAGCAGCAGAGGATGGCTCAAGTACTTTGGGCCCCTGGCTGTGGAGATCCATAATAAGTTCCTGACTCTTGGCTTGAGCCTGGCCCAGCTTCAGCCATTGCTGCCATCTGAACCAGCAGATGGAAGATCTCTGTCTCTTCCTCTCTCTGCATAACTTTTTCAAATAAATGAATCTTTTTAAAAAAAGATTCAAATAAATTTTTGTTTTTTAGTGTTGTTATTATCAGAGTATTCCATAAAATCATTACTTAGGCCTGCCCATGTATTATGACATACTATAACTTAAGAGTGTTAGCCATAGAAAAAAATGTTTATTATTCTTTAGTGACTAAAAATCTCCTTGATGAGAATCAATTTGTTAAAATACTAATAGCTTTCATGTCATTTTATAAATAAGGATGGAGGATGGAACAAACAGTAGCCATCAGCTTCTTGGTTGGTGTAAACCATATTGGTATTCAGTGTTGGGCACTACATAAATCTTACTGGGTAGCTCTTATGCTCTGAATACATAAGTTCTTCAAAAAGTTCATGGAAAATATATGTTTGAAATGCATTAATTTCAAAATTTTTTGCAACAAGACAAACATCTTTTAATTTCATTTTTATGAACTGTTTGAAGTATGCTCAGATGTCTGATTCCTTCCATTTTTTTTAAGATTTATTTATTTATTTGAAAGGCAGAGTTACAAAGAGGCAGAGGCAGAGGCAGAGGGAGAGGAAGAGAGAGGGAGGGAGGGAGAGAAGGAGGGAGGGAGGGAGAGAGAGGGAGGGAGGGAGGGAGGGAGAGAGAGAAAATCTTCCATCCGATGGTTCACTCCCCAGATGGCCACAAAGGCCGGAGCTGCACTGATCTGAAGCCAAGAGCTTCCTCTGGGTCTCCCACGAGGGTGCAGGGGCCCAATAACTTGGGCTATCCTCTACTGATTTCCCAGGCCACAGCAGAGAGCTGGACTGGAAGTGGAGCAGCCTGGACAAGAACCGGCACCCATATGGAATGCCGGCACTGCAGGCAGTGGCTTTACCCACTACACCACAGCACGGGCCCCTGTATACTTCTAACTCCTTTCAGCAGATAAAGCCCTTACTATCTCTCATGAGGATTCCTACAATAACCTACTGTGTAGTCTTTTTGCGTCCACTCATTCTTATCCTCCAATCTACTACTGACCATGAGAAGAGTGGTATTTCAAAACTACCAACCACCTAAGCCATGCCCCTACTTAAAATCCTTCAGAATAAAGGTCAAACTCCTTACCACAGCCTCAGAAGTATGAGTCTCTAAGATGACCTGCAATGTACCCTGCTTCCTGGTATTCACACCCACGTGTAGTTCCCCTCCATACTGCACCAAGGTTGGTCTGTGTGGCCAACAGTATAGGTGAGAAAGGATGGTACCTTATATCACTTCCCCAATTAGGTTAAAAAAAAGACTGTGGGGGACAGCACTATGGATGGTAGACCTTTCTATCTCTCCCTCTCTGTCCGTAATTCTGCCTCTCAATTAAATAAAAATCTTAAAAAAAAAAAAAAAAAAGACCGTGGCTTTGGTTTTGGGTATTCTCTCCACTGCCAGTACTCTGTCTCACCCTCTGAGATCTCATAATGTAAAGGAGGCAAACGACGATTTATGAGCAGTCCTGTGGAGTGACCCGCATAAAGACAAACTGCAGCCCCTGGCACACAGCCGCTGGGGAACTAGGGCTGCCAGCATCCACATGAGTCAGCTTGGAAGCAGTTTCTCCAGCTCCAGCTGAGCCTTGTGAGGACTGATACCTTACAAGAGTCTTTGAGGGAGAACCCAGCTAAACACCCCTGGACTCTTGACTCACAGAAATGGTATGAGATGTTTAGTTTTAAAGTGTGATCGCTTCTCAGCCGTTTGGCTGAGACCAAATGTAGAGTTCTAAAGTGTTATGTTTTGGGGTAATTTGTTACATGGCAATGAATAATACAGCTTACAAATATCCTGATAACCTAATCCTTGTCTACTTCTCTAACTTAAATTCATAGCACTCTCCTGCCCATTATACTCCAGTTCCATGAGATTTTAACTCTTCCAGTGGCTCACTTTCCCTGCCACATCTCTATCTGCTTTCCCTTATACCTAGAACGCTCATCCTCTCCGTATCTGAAAAGCTAGTTGCTTTATATCTTTTAATGATTTCTTTCCTCCTGATAGCACTTACCTAGCATATGCCTCATCTTTTACTTCACTTAGCCTCCATTTTCTTCACAATACTAATCCCAGCCTGCTCTGGCCCCTACCATAACACTGTAAGCCCCCAGAGAATAGGGACTACACCCACTATAATCTCCACTGTATCTCCTGCATTTGTTCACGGCACAGCACAGAAGAGGAAGTAAATAAATACTTGTCAAGTGAATAAACAATTTGAAACTTTTTTTTTGCAAAAACAAAAACCTCAGACATTAACTACAGTAACAGACATTCTCACAGTAAGTGTTGAGTAAAATCAGTATCTTCATTAGGGGAAATGCAATTTTACAATTATGATCAGGAAAGAGTGGAAAGTATACTTACTTGATTTTGGCCACAACAAAGAGATCATTGAACAGGAAAAGATGCCGCTCCTGCCTTTGTAGACCCCTTTTGAGTTCTACTCGGCCGTCAATCAGCAGAGTCCTGCTAGAGCTCGCAAATGATGACAGGAATGCACATGTGTCCACGCTTGCAGAAGGGCTTTCCCTGTAACACATCAAATGTCACAGGTCAATCAAATGACCACATATGGGGCAAACATTTTATAAAAGTACAGCTTACAGTTGGTTAGGAAATATAAAACTCTAATTTTGTTAATACAGTACCATAGTATCATAACTGAAGTCTTTAGTACTTCATTATGAGAATTTTGAAACATAAAGCAAAGGTGAAATAGTTTCATAGTAAACAGATGTATACCTCAACCTAGATTCTATCATTAGTGTCTTTATATTCTTGCTTTATCATATAGCTATGAAATTATCTACCTATATTCTACCTATTCATTAGTCCTTTTTAATTTTGGCATTTCAGTGTAAACTGCATATAGCAGTATTTATCTCATTAAATAATTAAGCCTGCATGACTAACTATAGTAAATTAGAGTCCTTTGAAAGAAAAGGTAAAGGGAGTTTCTGTGCTTGATTTTATAGATTGTAATTGAGTAGAGAGGAAAGATAAGGCCCATATTCACCATCACAAAGTCCTTTTTCTCCCAAATTATTTTGGGGCACAGTAGTGGGAGAGGGTATAATGGCATATTTTAGTGTGTAGTGATTTTCAAATTTATAGACAATGAGAATAAAGCTTCACCTGATCTTACAAAAATTGAGCAAGGACAAGCACTGAATGGATCAAACAATGGCTAAAATAACATTTACGTAGTTTTATTTTTGCTGTTTAATGAAAGGAAAATTTTGTGAGGGAAGAACTGTCTTGTATTTTGGCTTAAGTACCCCAAATTTACTGCTCTTTGATTATAACAACAAACTACCAGAAATCATCACAGTTTAAACAACTGATCCTCAAACTATTATTCAAAGGGTCAGATACCAAAGAGCTTAAGCTTTGTGGATAATACAGTTTTTGTTGGAACTACTCAATGATGCTTTTATATGCCAGGATTGATCATAGACAACACATAATGAACCAGCTTGACCACGTTCCAAAAAAAACTTTATTTACCAAAATAGGCAGACCTTTGGTATTATTTTATACTTCTAAGATATTTAAGTGCATATAAATGAAGAGTAACTGGGGGCTAGTTTTAAATTTTTCTTCATGCTTTTTTAAAAATTATTATTTGAAAGGCAGAGTTAGAGAGAGAGAGAGAGAGAGAGAGAGAGAGACAAGAGAGAGGGTCTTCCATCTGCTGGTTCAATCCCCAAATGGCCACAACAACTGGAGGTAGGCCTGGCCGAAGCCAGGAGCCAGGATTTCTTCCAGGTCTCCCATGTGGGTGCAGGGGCCCAAGGACTTGGGCCATCGTCCTCTGCTTTCCCTGGCTCATTAGCAGGGAGCTAGATCGGAAGTGGAGAAGCCAAGACTTGAACCAGCACCAAATGGGATGCCAGTGCTTTAACCTGCTGCGTCACAGTGCCGCCGGCCCTGCTTCTTTGTTTTTAATTAAGTACAAAGACTTTTCCAACATGTCACCTATAGACCATTTCACCTACTGCTCTGTTTGGCAGCAAGTCTCTCGACTTCAGAAATGGTGAGGCAGATTTTCTTCCCTCAAGGAGCAGAAATCCATGTTTTTTTCTTTTGCCTGTAACAAAAATGCTGGAAGGCTGAGTGGCAAAGCTGTTGCCATTGGCATCTTTTATATGAACGCCATCAGAAGAGTGAGGATGTGTCTCTGTTGCTAATGTCTCTCTGTTGGCAATCACCACCAGTTCTTCCCAGGGTGGTACCTCTACGACCATGTACAGGTTACCAGTGTCAAACTTGATGAAATCAGTAATCCTGCCAGTCTCCAAATCAGTGTGAATGGTGTCATTGACCTTGATGAGGGGATCAGGATAGCGAATGTTACCAGCATCATGGATCACTAGATGGGGGTTTCCTTTTGTGCCCACAAAGATCCTTCTCACTTTTCACAACTTGTACTTGGCCTCCTCAGGTATAATATGATGAACAGCAAAGCAACTTTTGGTCATGGATTAGATGGAAATTCTCTCCAGTCATGTAAATGATGACGATGATATCAATTAAACCAGTAGGGTAGGTTGTATGAGTTTGGAATTTGTCATCAATCTTAACGAACTACTGCATGCAAATTTTCTTTACTTCATCCCCTGTAAGGGCATACTTAACTTTGTTCACTTGATGAGGAATAAACACACTGGTCAACTTGTCCAGCACCCAATGCTCTGGAGCTGCTACTCACTTCAAATACTTCTTAGAACTTTGAGCCATGGTTGTAGTACAAATGGAAAGAGGATAACTCCTAGGCTATTTTTTTTTTCAAAAAGAGTAGTTGTTATTTTAAAACAATTCCTAAGAATTTTCATACCTAATAACTCATTTTCTACCTCACAATAATACTTTCAAATAAGTAAGTATGGTACTGTGAGAATTCATAATGAAATTTAAACATTTTTTCTGTATGGATTTATTAACTTAGATGTCTTCAGTCTGTCATTTTAAAGATCTACATAAGAAAATGGCAAGGAAGGCCTCAAGACCTTATCAAGTAAGCACTGATTAAGAAACAAATCCCAGCATTCATGCTGCAATACTCTAGAACGAAAATAAACACCTCAGCACTCTAATCTAAAGCAATTATCTGTGCTATTGATGAAAAAAAAAAACATGAGAAAGTACTACTGCATTTCAATAGTCAACACATTGATAAAACCACATTCAAATTACCAAAGAAAACTACATAGCAATTATAACATGATATGGTTGTATGCAGTATCACCATACTTCATTTCACTGATTAAATGATGAATTATATAGCTCAAATACAGTCTGAATTTTGACTCGGATTATGAGAACAGAGCCTAGTGATAGGTTAATATCAGGACCAAAATGAACTAAGACAAGGTAAGAGTTTGGTAAGATGGATAGCTGAATGCTTGGGTAAGCAAGAAATAGAGAAAGAAGCACTTTTTAAAAATTTTTTAGGTTTATTTTATTTATGTGAAAGACAGAGTTACAGAGAGAGGTAGAGCCAGAGAGACAGGTCTTCCATCTGATGGTTCACTCCCCAGATGACTGCAAAGGCCAGAGCTGCACCACAGCACTGACCCCAGGAGTACTTTTAAAAGATCATCGATCATCAAAATGATAACTGGGACAGGCAGCATATATATTTTAATGTGATCAATAACATTACATAAAAAATAATACTAATATTAAAAAGGCATGGAGAACATAAAAATAAATAAGTAAAAACAGAATAGCAAGAGGAAAGGAATAAAGGACACTAATAAGTAGTTATAATAATAGAAAAGATCCAAACACAAAGAAGTATTATCTTCAAAGAAAGAAGTAGATTTTATCTTCAAAGTAAGGAGTACATTCATGCCTGGGCACAGAAGTTGCTTGACATCTATTAGGGATTTATTGAGTAAAAGACACTGGAGACAATAAAATCTATGAACATTTATCTGAAACTTAAAAATAACTTAAATACAATGATGCAGGCCCACTTAGCCGAGAAGTTTCTGAGTTTTAGAACTCTGAACAGTCCAGTGAAAATGGCAACTCTTCAGGAAGAACAGCTCTATTTCATTATGAAAGAATGAGTAGAAACAGATAGATACCAACTAAGGATTCAAAGAGTCTTCAAATCAATTCAGTCAATTTTATGGCCTATTGATTTAAAAAAATCATTATAAATTAAGCAAAACTGGTTTAAGTATTTTTCTTGAATCAGGGAATACAAATATTCAAGCAACTCAAGGAATTTATATGTGTAGTTCCTGCAATGTTCTATGCCCATAGTCTACTGATTCAATGAGGAAGCAAGCATCAATAAAGTGACTGGACATGTTGAGTATTTGAATAGTTTGGTTCAGATAAATAATTATATAGTGGTACACTGAAAATTAAACAATTACACCTCATTAAAAGTAGTTTTGGGGGCTGGTGCTGTGGCACAGTGGGTTAAAGCCTTGGCCTGAAGTGCCGGCATCCCATATGGGTGCCAGTTCTAGCCCCGGCTGCTCCACTTCCAATCCAGCTCTGTGCTATGGCCTGGGAAAGCTGTAGAAGGTGGCCCAAGTCCTTGGGCCCTGCATCTATGTGGGATACCTGGAAGAAGCTCTTGGCTCCTGGCTTCGATCAGTGCATCTCTGGCTGTTGTGGCCATCTGGGGGGTAAACCAGCGGATGGAAGACCTCTCTCTCTGTCTCTTCCTTTGTAACTCTTTCAAATAAATAAAATAAATATTTTTTTAAAAAAGCAGTTTTGTTTGTAACTTCTGAATTAGCTAACGTTGGAAGATATCATCTACTAACTTCTAATTAGAAAATTAGTAAATATATTAATAAATATATTATACTAACAAATCACAAGGTCTCAAGGGAATATACCTTAGGCAATAACTTAAGGAGTCTACTACCTCCAGTTCATTTATACCAAAATGTCAGTTTTCAAGCTAATTTGTAAGTTAGTTGATCCATACTGGAGGAGAATTAACCTTGCCAGGAACCTTGAATTACTATCCTATCAAGATACTTAAAATATTTCAGGATAAGGAAAAATCACATAATGGATACAGTAGCATTTCTTATACATAGTTTCAGATCTATGGTTTCAGTTCCCATAGTCAAGTAAAGTTTGAAAAATATTAACTGGAAAATTCTAGAACTAAACAATCTATATGTTTTTAATTGTTGTCATTCTGAATAATGCAATAGAATATCCCCTGTCCCATTCATCCTAGACAGAATGTGAATCATCCTTTTCTCCACTGTAGCCACTATATATGCTATATGCCTTTACTCTCTGTAATCAAATCAAATGTTGTAGTATTGTAGTGACTTGTTCCAGTAATTGTCATTTAGTAGCCTGACATTATATCATAACATTATATCATTCATCTTACCTCATCTCATCACATAGACAATGGGTCACCTCACATCACAAGGGTGAAGATAGTACACTATGATATCCTGAGAGACAAAATATTCATATAACTTTTATTCAAATATATTGTTATGATTATTCTATTTTATTAGTTATGGTTGTTAATT